TCTAAAAAATGAGTCACTCTTTCCACCTTAATATGACCCCTCTCCACTTAGTTAAATGAAACATATAGGCTTACACAATTTAAACCTATTCTCCACATAGAAAAAAAGCTCAAAGCCTAACAAAAACAATACTACAACATTCCTTTGATATATTATCTAATATTAGCATATTAAGCTCGTTTATTGCATTTTGTTATGTAAAACATGCATCACCAAAACTCTCTCAATTCCCCTTTTTTTAAGAGCTTTAACTTCTCCTTAAAGTCATATACCCTCCACCAAAAAAAAGCTCCTTGGGGCATTTACTCATAAAAAATATTATACTAATAATAAAAAAAAATATGCTCTCCATTCTCTCACACAAAGGGCGTTCCAAGTACTAGAGACAACGGAAAAGAATTCCCTATGTTTTAACCACCAATAGTTAAATCAAAATGGCCTTTGTCCCTAGTTTTGTAAACCACAATGCAATATTAAAGACAATGATGATAAGATATATCGATCCCTAGCATTGCTCTTAGCGTAAACGGATAAACCTTCCACAAAGCTATCAACTCTTTGATAATAAGAATCTATAAATAACTCATTGTTGAGTCGTGAGGCTTGATCCAAGTAAATTATTTCCTATAGAACAGAGACGTTAATTAATATTCAAATCCATACCATCAATGAATTTCTCAAGTTTCTCAACCTCGTGATAGTCAGCCTACAACTTCGATTAATTAGATGTGTTTTGCAATAACTTAGTTAATTATGAGAAATATATAATTACTTTTTTTAAAGCTGTGTATTAAGAACTTAGGGTTCTTTTTTTGCAATAAACTATTTTTTTTAAGTCTGCAATAAATTAATTCTAAAATTCATCATTATTTTGATTTAGCTAAATATATACGTCGGTATGTTAAAAGACCTAGAATGTTGATGAATATATTGTGAAAAATCCAAGTCCCACATCGACTAGAGATTAGGCAATTAAATAGTATATAAGTGGAAAACAACCCTCACCTTACAAGCCAGTTTTGTAGAGTTGAGTTAAACTTAAATTCACTATTCTAAGATGGTATCAGAGCCATTTAGATCCACTTTAAATGGACCACCCATCATTGATGCATGCCCAATAGGCATGAGGGAGTGTATTGGGAAAAACCCAAGTCCCGCCAATCCTAGATCATTAAAAAGGATCACCTACCATTTATCCACGTACCAAGCCCAATAGTACTGGACGTGAGGGGGTGTATTGTGAAAAACTCAAGTCCCTAATCGACTAGAGATTAGGCAATTAAATAGTATATAAGTGGAAAACAACCCTCACCTTACAAGCCGATTTTGTAGGGTTGAGTTAGACTTAAATTCACTATTCTAAGTGAGAGTACTTTCTTTTTTTACATAGAATGTTAAGGAGTACTTTAGAAGATGTGTTTGAAGAATTAAAAGTGACAAATATTATACAACCCATCCAGTGATTTTTAATAAATTTTTTAATTGATATCTTTAAAAGAGTTGTTTGCAAGAATTCAAATAACTTGTCTACACATCATTGTGCCCTAATTGGTATTTCTCTAATAAAAAATTTTAACGTCATTTAAAATATTTACTTATAATTTTATCCTTTTTATATTACTATCCTTATTTTTACCCACAGATTAGGGAAAAAAGAAAATATTAACAATTACATATAAAATAATTGCATTACTCTAGTTCAGAATCTCTCAAGAAAAAATGTTTTCTCTTTCTACACACAACTCTCTGTTAACATGTTTTCTAGCAAGATTTCAAACTTCAATTTATCTATTTTTTGTTCTCCCAAATTAGGTTGTGCGTCCTACTTATTTCTTATCTTTTCATGCTAATTAAAAATATGCCAGTCACTTACGCCACATGATAGATAGTATATATGTGTTTATGAACAAATAAGTGGCAACATAAATAAATAGAGTGGATAGCTAAAATTTCATTAAGATTGGCAAAAAATGAAATAGTACATTTTATATAAACAATTGACAAGAATATTTTTTTTTCTTGTTAATTAATTTAATCTACTTAAATTATTCTTGACAATTTTACCGGATAGATCAACAACGGCTTGACATCAAGTTGAATAAGGTTTTTATGAAATTGATATATTTTAGACAAAAACAATTCCTAATCTGAAGTAAAAATAAGGAAAAATAAAATAATATAAAAAGAAATAAAAATATAGATTACATATTTTAAATGACGTATTAATTTTGTTTATTAATGAGACATCAATTAAGACGCAACAAACAGGTAAATAATTTGAATCCGGATTGTACGTAGAATCCATGTTAAATTAAAGATGTTGAATTTATTACCTTAGTTATATAAAAAATAAATTAGTCCGTTTCACGCTGGACCATAAAAGTAATGTCCAAAGTTGTTAAGTATATAATGTATGAACATTGAATCCTTTGTTTTTCTTCATTTAATTAGAACTTCGAATATGGTGGCCATAAATATCTATATACGTGGATCACACCGTAGCAAAGATGGAAAATCCTAACGTAAACATCTAACAATAAGTGAGAACCTTTTTATTAATAGGTTTGAATATAGTATTAGAATATGAAGGTTTAACCTTACGTGACGTCGATTTGGTTTTTGGCAAGTCTAACACAAGAGTGTACCACAGTACCAACTTGAGAGAGAGAGAGAAAAAACAAATCAAAATGTTCAAAGCCGGCATGACTGACCATTCAACACCGACTCCTCCACACCTTTCACAAACAAACAACCCTAGGACTTTATCAAAGTCAATTTAATTCAAAGTCATCATATATTTCCTTTTACCACATTTATATATATATATATAATCATACCTTTATATAATATATCCATCGTTCTTATACAATCTCTACCCATTAACACAACACACAACAACCATTCTCTAAGGATTATTCCTCTTATAATGGGAAATGCAGTAGTGACATCATGTTTTCAACCAAAAAATTCATCGTTATCATCATCATTATCATCGAAACTTATATTTTGGGATGGCACCATGAGATCTCTAACGGGTAAGAACATTGCTGGTGAGATCATGTTTGAATTTCCAGACAAAGTAGTTTGCCATGCAGATTCCTTCTTCATTGGACACCCAATTCCTGCTTTAGCCTTAGATGATGAACTCATGCCAGGTGAAGACTATTTTGTTCTTCCCATTGATAGCTTCACATGCAAAACCCTTTCCGTGTCTTCACTCTTGTCCTTGGGATCACACCCCAACAAGGCTACTATCAAAGTTGGGGAGTGCCCTTTTGAGTATTTGAAAGGTTCCAATGGAAGGGTGTTGATTAAGGTCATGCCCGAGTTCATCACAAGGCTCATCACTAGAGGTAAAGGACCATGTTGCCCCGACAGCAATAACAACTTCCTTTGCAGCACTCCCGAGTTGAAAAAACATTATCAAATGCTTGTGAAGTCTAAGGACCAGGTTTGGTCACCTAAGCTTGAAACAATTTCGGAACACAAGGTTAGGTTTTCACCGTGTAGATTCATAGGTTTAGAGTGGAAAGAAAAAGAGAAGGCAGAAGTTGAGTCTGCTAGATAGTAGTTTTCATGGATTAATGTAGAATTGTAGATTATACACTTCAAATTTGTATACTGATATTGAACATACATATATATTATTGCCTCAGTATTAATAGTGACGTTAATTTCTTCTGCTCATAATTTTGTGGATTGTATCAATATGATGACATTTGTTTTGGAAAGTAGTGAAAGTTATAAAAAGCTGGAAAGACTAATTCATTAGTCCCCCGTCCCTATTAGAATCAGAATTCAGAACACTGGTTAGTTTATTGATCCCGTACATGCACTAAATTATATGTTGTCTTTGGCAAATCAGTACCAAGTGAATCTAGACGAATTTTTTTATTATTGGCGAAAATATATATAGGAGAAGGTTGATTATTATATACACATTTAAATGATTACAGACAGCTGAAAAATTATCCATAAAAAACATTGTAGCCATAAGAAAAGGTTAATTTAATTTTACAATTAATTTCCTATTCTTTCCGCTTATATGTATATAGAGAGAGAAAGAGTGAGAGAGTGAGGATGAGAATGAAATTGTTTTACATGCGTTGTTAGCTCTTAGTGGAATTGTAAAATGTGTAGCAAACAAGTTATTGACAATAATAGCTCAAACTGAATTGTTTTGGGCACAATTTAGTTCATAAATGTGAGAGTATAAGTTAATTTGAAATTGAAAAGACATTTATAAGTATTTGTTCAATTTAGTTCAATTCATATTCAAATTATAGTGTAGTTCAAACTTTTGCAACAATAGTTTATGGAAATAGAAAATGGTTCAATTGATTGAAATTTCTCAAACTGTTTTCTAATTCAATTTAATTTAGATGAAACATATTTAAGTTCAAATCAAACATAATAATTTAATTAATTCAACTTTTTTGAACATCGCTGATTGCGACTACTTAAAACAATCTCCAATTTCTCAAAAGTTATATTGAATTGTTAGTACCCCTACGAGTTCCCCAAAGCCATTGCAAAAAAAAAAAAAAATTTATTTAGAAAGAACTCAATAAGTTTCACATTTATTAGAGATAAATTTAAATTAAATAAAGTATATAAGTTCGGGACAACCTTTATTTTATAAGTTGATTTATTAAAGTTAAGTTGAACTAAAACTCATATTATCATGTTATATCTTTAATTCATTAAACAACATCATTCACCATTTATCTACAACCAACCCAATAATAATAGGCATGAAAGTGTTGATTTAATTTGTAAAGTTAAGTAGTTAGACCAAAAATTGCATTTTAAGATAATATAAGAGTTTATCCTAAATTCATTAAAAAATGAGTCATATATCATTTATCTGCATGTCAAGGTGTGTGGTGTTGTATAGTTAAGTTAAATAAAAACTCACATTTTAAGATAGTATCATAATATATCATAAATTCATAAAAATGATCACGCAACATTTATCTACACATCAAGTTCAATAGTTCTAAATAAGTATAGAAGTGTATCCCCTTGATTTTATAGAATTAAGTTAGACCAAACCCACAGTTTTAAGATAATCACTAATGTGTGTGACACTTTTAATGATGGGTAAAAAAACTTTTTATGTTAGTTCTAGACCCATCATAAATCCTAACGATATAAAAAATAATAATTTTTTTTATAAATTATAAAAATAGTTGACATACAAAGTCTTATTTTTATGTGAACAATTGTTTCTCTATTGTGCTCTTTCTCTCTCATTACATCTTTGCATTTCGTTGCCACCACTTTCCTTATATCATTCTCACATCTCTTCATTTCTACAACATCATCTTCACACTGTCTTCCACTACCATGTTTGACACTACTATGTTTGCTACTTCCACTACCATGTTTGTCACTTTCACCACCATATTTGTTTCAAAATCACCACACACAATCAACATTCAGTCAATAATAACAAAAAACACAAAAAAAAAAAATGAAAGCAAAAGAAGAAATTAAGTTACCTAGATGTGCAAGGAAGAAGAGGAGCACGAAGAAAAGGGAACAAATAAAAAATCAGAAACAACACAAAGATAAACTATAATTATTTGTTGCTTGCAAATATTTTTTTAACAAATTTTTTTTTTGCTACTAATATAATTTATTTAAATACATATATTTTTACATACATTACTTGTAATTTAATTCATATGTTGCTAGTAGAAAAAAAACATTGTTTTCTTCTATAATGGTGTGTACTAGTTAAATTTTGGTTAAAAACTTAATTTGGTCCCTTATAATATTTTTTTGTTTCAATTTAGTCCCACTTTAATTTTTTGTTTCAATTTAGTCCCTAATAATTTAAATTACTGCAATGTCAGACTTCCGTCCAAATTATTTAAATCGAGTTAACTGTTGGCCACGTGGATGCCAAGTAGATGCATATGTGGATGCCAAATTTTTTTAAGGGAACTGTTATGGTATCCATGATAATTGAAAGGTTTTGGTACCTTAAATTATGTGAATAAATAAATTTAAAAGAAATAAATTAAAAATAACATAAATTTTAGATTAAAAATTTGTAGAAGATGAATCAATCAAAAAGACTAATTCAAAAAAAATAATCAAAAGGTCAATTTTTATAACAAATTTTATTTATATGTGATACAATTAAAAAATTAAAAACAAAAAGTATAATAACATTATAAAAATATTAAAATAAGAAAGAAAAATAATAAACAATACAACTGAAAAACTAATTTTACTATAAATTCAAAAAATTAACACAAAAAAAAAACTAAAACGTTTTAACAAAATATTAATATTAAACTATTTAGTTATATATTAAAAAAAAAATTAAACGGTTGTACCGGTACCCCACAATTATAGCGGCTACCGTAAAGTTTTCATTTTTTTAATGCATCTGAAACTAGAACGGCCCGTTCTGAAACCAAACGGCCCGTTCGGCTTGCACTGGTGGTGTGTAAATTTTGCATCTGGAACGGGCCGTTCTAGATGCAAAATTTACACACCAAGAGTGCAAGTAGAATGGGCCGTTTTGGTTTCAGAACGGACCGTTCTGGTTCCAGAATGCCAAACACAAACGATCAATGATTATAGTCAGTGACGAATTAACACACCAAGAGTGCAAGCAGAATGAGCTGTTTTGATTTCAGAACGGGTCGTTCTGGTTCCAAAATGCCAAACACAAACATTAAAAATTTGACATATAATTTTTAAAAGTATAAATATATATTATAGTTATTTTTTACAAGTTTTTATATCTACAATTACGATTAAGGATGAAAATAAATTAAGCCAGATTATGTTATATTATAATTTAACAGATTTAAACCTAATTTTCATTGAAAATACATGTTATAAATATGATATATTTATCTGTCATAGACATTTTTTAAAATGTTTGATTAGAACTACAATCTTAAAAACCTACTTAATAATAATTTAACACTAATAAAAACATAAAAATAAATATGTTAAATTTTATAAAAATCAAGTTTAATTTATTTATGATATAAACATTTTTTTAATATGTGATATAATTTTTAGATGATAATTTATTTTAAAACAAATTTTATAATAAATATTATAAATAAAACATAAATCTTCCAATCTTTCCTATTTTAATTTTTTTAAATCAATGTATACAATCTTACAATTTTTACAATTTTGATTTTTTTTATCAACATATACAATAAATAGAAAACACAAAAGGTAAATATGCATGCTGTAAATTTTATTTTATCAAAAATTAATATATTACATTATTAATAACACACACACACACATCATTATTAAAGAGTATTTTTTTTATTTCATATGAGAATTAATCTCATTCAAAAGTTTGACAAATATCAGATAAATGAATAACTCCTCGAAATTTATATTTTATAGATACGATAATTTTAAAAAAAAATATATATATATATATATATATTTATTAGAATATAATTTTTATTTTTTAAAATATATTATTTTTTAGATAAAAAAATTTGTGTATGTGTAAATGATTTATTTTCAACCTTTGAACTGCATTGTTGCATTGTGTTGAACATACGTATGTGATTGGCGTTCTGAAACGGCTCGTTTTGATTCTAGAATGGCTCGTTCTGATTCCAGAATGGCCCATTCTGAATCCAGAACAGGCCATTCTGGTTTTAGAACGGCCCGTTCTGCTTGTACTAGTTATGTGTTGAATAATGCATCTGGAACGGGCCGTTCCAAATGTAAAATTTACACACCATGAGTGTAAGTAAAACGGGTCATTCTGGTTCCAAATGCATTAAAGCAATTTGGCATCCACCTTTGCATCCACGTGATCAACAGTTAACTTCATTTAAATAATTTGGACGGAATTCTAACATTGAAGTAATTTAAATTATTAAGGACCAAATTAAAACAAAAAATTAAAGTAGGACTAAATTGAAACAAAAAAATATTATAAGGGACTAAATTAAGTTTTTAACCTTAAATTTTTATAATGATCTACTATTTTTATGTACTTATATATAGATAGAGAGAGATATTTTTATGTACTTATATATAGATAGAGAGAGACCTTTGAATGGCGAACTTTTTAAACTTATATAATATGATTATATGATATAGATAAATTTAACACCTCAATTTTTATTTTATTCATGTTTTGATTATTAAATATTTTATTTTTTAAAATTATTGATAGGTGTATATATGCTGAATTATTTTGTTGAACGTTTATATAATGATTGTATGATATAGATAAATTTAACACCTTAATTTTTATTTTATTCATGTTTTAATGATTAAATATTTTATTTTATTTTATTTAAAATTATTGATACGTGTATGGTGATTTTTTTTTTGTATGTATGAGTGTCACATACTATTTTTAAATTTACAATACTTATTTTTTAAGAAATCTAGAATAAGTAAAATAATGGATTGTAACGACCCGGCTGGTCACCACACACAGCACAGCACACTAGAAACACTGCACAGAAAAGGACAAATGTATACATATAGAGTCTAGAATATATATATATATATATATATATATATATATATATACAAGGTCCAAATCTGGCCAGAATTAGAGTGCACAAAATACAACCAGCATCGCTATACTAAATAGTTAAATATAACAAAATAATCAAACGCCATCTGCCAGTTGCAGACTCTCCTCAGCACACAGTCGACTACCTCCATCTTTCTTCTTCACCAACAACACGGGAGCACCCCACAACGATACAC